GAACAGTTCCATTCTGCTAGAGGGCGGCCCGACCGCACGGTGCTGTTTCTGGGAGGGACGGCAATTCAGGTAAGTGGTTTGAAGGTGTTCTGCCCTGCTCCGAATAAAAGGCGTTTCTTTTGCCGCAGGCTGTAATACAAAACCGAGACAATTCACGCCACCTCAGTGAGGTATCTTTCCTGATGGGATGCTGACCGGTTGAAGGGGTTGACAACCCCCCAAAATGCTCTCTTGCGAATAATTGTAGCAAAACAGCTATTCGCACAGTCTCCTACGTACCAGACGTCTCGATTCCGGTCATTTTCCGCTTGTGCCGCAGTCAAGGACCCTGCTGGTCACTTTCTTCTTTTGTGCCGTGGAGAGCGGGCGAAGGCGCTGGCACAACACTACCACAATCATGGGGTGAGGTAACGAGGGGGCGCTCGCTTTGCATCGCATCACAATGGGGAGCCTTTGGCCAGCGCCAGTGGAGCCATGTGGTGGGGGTTTGCTTTTGCTTTTGTTTCCAGCCATCCCACTCGGAAAAGGGGGCGGCAACAGGGGTTTCCGAGGTTAGGCCCAAGGCTCCAAGACGCCCGGCCTGTCCTTGAGAGCTCTCCCGCCATAGCCTACCGGGTCGCCCCGGGATTTCCAGCGGTTTGGCACGACACAGGGGGGCCCAGTCACGGAGCAGGAGCTTGCACGACTGGCAAGCCGCTGATCGCACATCTGTTAGTGTCTCAACCGAAACAAGATGCTCAGAGCGGCTGGCCGATGCTGTGGCTTGTCGGGGTACATGTAGAGCCCTTGGTCCGAAGCACCCGACTTGATCAGCGCCCAACGCGAAGGCTTTATGCTGTTGACGGGCAATCACGAATGACTGTTTCTTCATACAGCCAGCGTAGCACGATGCCGTGTTGCCCTTTCTTGTCAAGTCGATCTCAGACTTGTACCCGTCAGTTGGCCATCGTGTCCCGCACGGGGCGGGTGGTGACATTTGACATGAGGGATGTGCCGCCAGCAGCAGCAAGCGAGCCCCATCGCACCCTCATGTACCTCAGACGCCGTACGCGGGCACCCTTCCAACATGACTAGGTCCCGCTCTGCTTGTGAATGCGCATTGGATCCAACTGTTGGACTCGCTCGCTCGCTTGCTTACCGAACCTGGGCTCATGTTTTCTCCCAATCTACGGGTACTCGAATGAAGAGTGCGCCGGCAGTCTATCCTGCGAGTCCTCGTCTGATGCTGATGCTGTAGACGCGAAGACGCAATAAAACCATTGATTTCAACATTGCGAGCGGTATCAGCTCTGACTTGAGCCGTTGTCGACGACGACACAACCAGGACACATGTCTGTCTCATCAAGGCGGAAAATCAGGGCGTTTCGCTGACCTTCCCAGCTTGGGGCGATGTGCTGCATGGCCACAAGCTAGTTGTTAGGCAACTGATAAGGGTTGCATCGTCTGCCGCGCTGATGCACCTCATCTGCACACAGCGCACCAACCGCCGTCCCATGCCCTCGTCGTCGGTGATGAGGTCCCGACCCAGGTCGCGCGCTCTGCCCCCCGCTTTTGGCTCCCCCTCTCGCCTGCACGGTTCCATGGCTCTGCGCTGTCTATTCAACCTGAAAAGACCAAGCCAAAGTGATCGATGCGATGCGTGGTTGTGCTGCCCGGTTCTGGAATCGAGCGGTCCAGGCACACCCCAGAGCCATACGAGGTAGCAACAGTTTCGGGGGCATGCTCGGAGCCCTCCCATTTCATGAGGGAATATACTCGCCCGCATCGTGGTCACGGACGCCCCCCGCTCCAGGTCGAGCTTGATTCATCTGACATGCGGCGATCCTGTCACCAACTTGGATCGAGTGGTGGGGTTCACTAACCCGTGCTTCGGCGGACCTGAAGGGCCCAAACGCGACGTCGATCGTGCCTCCCGCTGTCCGTTCACCGCCTCTCCCAGGGCACCGTCTCAACCACTCAACGCTAACTTGGGACCTCAGCAGGCGACCCGGGTACCCGGGCCCGTTGTTGCGCGAGTCAAGAGCACGTAGAAATGTCGAAATCTGTATGGTACGGCAGATCTGCCTTCAGGCACCAAAAGGTTAAAAGAAACTAGAAGAAAACTTACTCGGGTTGTAGAGAGAGAACCCCTACTGCCTGTTCCACACCGCTCGAGGTTCAGGCAAGGGCTGCTGGTGCAGTTGGTGCTCTATGAGTGTACACAGATAGCTGCATTGTGATGAATGCTTGTGCTCCATAGACTAGAATGCGATGCACGCTGCAGGGAACTGTGCAGTGTTGCTTCTCCGTTATTCGCCTCGGCCAGATGGCAGCAGAAATAGCATGACCGGATTACAAGCGAAATTGTTCATGTGATGGTGTTTTCGTAGAGGGGTTGTTGTCGACACACCACTCGGTCTTGTCCCATCGACCAACATCTTTGCCGGCTCTCGTAAGACAACGCCCAGCCGTTGCCTTTATTCACTCGTTGAGCGACCTCTCTGCCAGGTTGACCCGAGGAGGGAAAGTGGCACGACTTGTGCGTCCCAGCTCCCAATGCTGTGGGTCGGGAGATGCACGCCGGAGACGAGGCTTCTGGGTTCCGGCGCGATGCAGGCGCCGTCATCCAGCAGACTGGGTGAGTGTGCGCCTAAAGCGACGCATGAGAGCGGCGCCTGACTTCAACAGAGTGGTCATGACCTGCCATGTCGCGTGTTTTCACTCGCACAAAGGGGCTGCATCGACAGAAGCGTGACATACAACCTGATAGCGTTTCTGCAGCCCACCTTCACTAGAGCGAGGTGCGCCGGGGAACCAGGGTTGTTGGTTCCGACCATTATGGCCACGCAACCATTTGGAGTGCGTGGCCAAGAAAAGGGAGCCAACTCATATCGCAGAGGCCGTGAGTCCTCTCTTCTGCCCAAAATTACATCCAGGGACGGGACACCATCGGAGCTAAGCTCCCCAGTGCCGGTTGACGCTGGGCGGATCTTTCCGTCTTGGTACTGGGCGTCCTAACTGGGACCAACAATGGGCAGCGTGCCTTGCAGGTTTGATGTTAGGATCAAAGTATGCGTCGTCCGCCTTGCCACACAGGTGGGTGCTCAAACGTCTACCACTGTGCAAATCAGACGGGAGCAGCGTCTGGCGTCTGGCATTGAAGGTGCTCAAGCAAAGCAGACGAAACTCTTCAAGCCTGTCAGCCCCTTCCTTCTGCCTGCATAACTCAAAACACTGTGGGCCTCGACCCAGCCCCCACGGACAAAGTGGCACGATGCAACCTTGAGGTGCAGGACTATGTAGCTTTCTCTGGCCAGAGCCAACCGACCGCCGGTCAGTATGTTCCGATCGGGTTGCCGTGACGAAGGACGGCTCCGGAATTTCCGTTTCATTCATCGAGGAACCGAAGTATCGACTGGAAAGTCGAAAGACTTCGGACGTGGGTAGGGCGCCGCACTAGCGTGCATTGTGTGACACGAACGTCGTGGTGCTCTCGAATTCGGATGTCGATATTAAGAAGGAGTAGCTCGTCAGTTGTGTAGGTAGACGCCATTACTCAGAACAACGCCACCGATGTCCTCTGTGTCTTCACGGGCTTGCCCTGGAGGACGGAGTGATTGTGTCCTACGTTGCTTTGATTGTATGGCATTGCCTGCTTCGCGGCCGATGCAACTCGCTGCCCATGTTGCCAGCGGTAGGCGCAGCCTCGGAGGCTCGTCATTGTCTCTGATGGATCTCGCTCCGGCAAGCTTCGCCTGCTGTTTCGACAACGAGTAGAGCAGGGAGACGAGCGAATACGGGAGCCCACATTGAGTAGGAGTGTCTCTGCGTGCAGTAAGTAGGTTGAAATCGGAGGTCTGCTAGTACTTCCGCACGCGTACTGCGTCCGCACATTCCTGGGATCTTTTGTCGTTCCTGCCCACGTAATCTTGCTTCTGAAGCGACGAGTGCTCTTGACAGGGAATAGAATGCTTGGCAAGCTGCGTCAGACATATTCAATAGGACCTCTTGACACTTGGCTGGGTGTTTATGACGCTCAAAGCACAGGGAGCTCAAGTCATCGTCAGGGCAAGGGCAAGGCGTATCATCTGTGGATTGGACGCGACTGCCCGTTCAAGAGCGGCCATTTGACAGTGCCTGCTTCCATCACGCCATGGAGCCTTCCTTCTCTTCAAACACAGCAGGGTAGGGCGACTGCTCAACATGCCTGCTTTACTGAAGGGAATACCCCACGCCATCTGGTGCAAACTGTTTTTGGCTGCGATTCGGTCCACCAGAAAATTGAGTGAAGCGGATGTGCCTCTTTCTGTCTAGTTACCTTATATGGTGGTCAGGATAAGGTACATTGCGTCTGCTCCTCTCTGTGATGTTTGAGTTTGCCGTCATGTGCGCTCTCTCCCAGAAGCTTATTCTTACAGTCCGCAGGTTTTCAAGTCCACTCCTCATCCCGATGGAAAGACTGATCGTAGATTCGGAATTTCACTAGCAAGCAGTATTCATCTACATAGTCACACTTGCCACCGTGACTTCCTGCAGACATCAAATGTTGTACGTCGTGTTGCTTTGGCGATTTCGGGTCGAACATGCCTGAGGACAAGTCCCTTCCAAACACAACCAGACCCCTCCCTGACGATGACCAGCCTGCACAGAGCACTCCTCACTGCACTTTCTACCTTGGAACCTTAGGTTCATCGATTTTGGAGCTTGATGTCCGCGTTTTCTGGATATCCAACCTTACCATTCATCTTTCTCCGACAGCATGATCGTCTACCATAAAGAGCTTTCCGCCCATGGCTCTCATGGCTGTCCTTTCCAGTCTCCCAATTGCCCTTCCAACTCTTCCTTCGAATTCGCAGCACCGATTCCAGATCCAATATTATCATCGAACATCATCCTGTAGCGATCTTCAACGCTTCAATCTTCTCTTTCCTCTTATTATTCTCCAATTGCTTCTTTTTCATCCCATCTCGACCTTCTCTGCTATTATAGTCACCCAGATTCTGTCTCTTTCATCTCATAACATGGCAGAATCAAATACCACCATCCCTCAGGAAGCCCAACAGTCCAGGTACAGTGAGTTGGAACTCACTGCGGCACAGGCTCTGGTCTTTATGGCATTGTATCATTGCCCACAAGATACCGCCACCGACATCAAGACCAACGACCACGAAGCATTTCATATCCCTCCGCTACCAAGTTCCGTCGAGGAGGGCCTGGAACTACCAGTTCCCCCGCCAGACGCCGATGACAGGACCCCGGCTGCCACAGAGAACGCACCGGACGACGCCGGTCTTGCAGAGGACGAGGTCGTAACGACAACGAAGAAGAGCAAGGCAAGCGGGAGGAATCAGCCCGCCAAGGCGCAGGAAACTCCAAAGGACAAGAAACCATGCGCCAAAACTGAGTCGGCACGGGCCAAGTACGACCGCATCGTGGCCCTCGAGTGCCTCGCGAAACGGAAATGCGCAAACTGCGCCAAGAAGAGGAGAGGCTGCGACTGCTATATCGATCCAGAAAGGCTGAACTCGGCTTGTGCCAAGTGCACTCTCCACAAGGAGGGTTGCTCTTTTGTCCAGGACGCAGCTGAGCCGCTGGGCCCGGACGGAATCGTCAACGCTCTGGCCGCCCAGGAGCTGCCAAGTCGCAGGGCACCTGCGGGACGCGAGGAGGCAGCCGAGACGCCCGTCAGGAACGCCGTGGGCGTTGCACCGAGCGACTCCGTTCCGGAAGAAGTTCAGGAACGAATCGAGCAAGAACTAGCTCGTTATCAATCAGCACCTGTCGAACAAAAGCCGGCAGCGATAATGGCACCAGAGTCCCGACTGGATGCCTCTCGCGACGAAAAGAGCGGCCTTAAGCGGACGCCTCTCCCTTCCAGTCGTCCCAAGCCGGTCACGACGTCCGGAGTGGGTGCAAAGAGGAAGCCACTTCCTGATGGTCGCCCCCAGTCGTCATCAAAAAGCACCGACGACAGCAAGCCGGAGCCTACGGAAGACGGCGATCCTGTCCCAAAGAGAGAAACGTCCCCGGCGAAAAGACGGAAGCTGGAGTCGGCAGCCTCTCAGACCACAGGCGAGAACGGTGATTCGGTGGAGGATATGAAAAGCTAACTTTGAAATGGGTTCCTTCAAAGTATGAAATAGGATATCCGGAATGCAGTGTAGAAGAACTTGGCAAAGGCGACGGAAGATTTTGCCGTCTGTTAGACAGACACCAAACAATGTAGCACTATCAGTTCAATAATGGCCAACGTAATTGGTCGTGTTATGAATCTTCCTTAAAATTCTCTCGGTTGACGATTTTCTGCGCTTACATGGTTACAGTCTGTGGTACCGCAGGGTGACGGCCATCAGTGTGTAATGATCGATGCCTCGTCAGCCCTACCACGGCATTGGAATCAAAGTACGCACATCTGCAGGGGGGGAATTTACATGCAACCTTGGGATACGTGGCGTCTCTCAGGATTTGGTGGCGTCAGAGTTGAGACACTGACCGCAACCAGGCCGCTGCCGTTTCGAGGAGCCCATTTACCCAGATTCCTTGCCATTTCGTTTGCCTGCCTCACGTCGTCAATCAAGCGATGTTATATCACAGCAGGTGGCATTGTGACAGATAGCTTTGAATACGTCTGATCCATGCTTCTTAGTCGCCACAAAGCAGGCCCATACTCACTCAAACTATTTCCCAACACTAGCCGGTAGTTTGTTCACCCTCCCTGTAGACTCGTTCACACTTGGGTAACCCCACGCCCCAGCCTGTCGTGACTGGGTCTTTCTTCCACGGAATCACTCCCAGTCATTACTGCTTCTTGTTCTGAGCGTAGAAGAAATTCGCAGCTACCAAGGTCAGTAAAGCCCCCCCCCCAAGTCCAGCGACAAAAGCCACTCACCGATCGGCACGAGCCCATTGGCATGCGCCCAGTCCTTGACGCCGTGCCCCGGCGCGCTGGCCCCCCAGTGTTTCCGGTCACCCGGCTTCGAGAGGTTCAGGGGCTCGGTGGTCCCGTTGGCGGGCACAAAGGCGATCAAAATGTAGCGATGGGGCCCCGTCTTCTCCGGCGGCGCGGGGGGTTTGTACTCCAGCACGTCCTCGAGCCTGCTCGCCGAGGCAGAGATGGAGAGTCCCGTGGCGATCCAGTGGCAGAACTCGCCCCATTTGGGATCGCCGCGCGATGGGGCGTCCGGGTCCGTGAGGGTGAGGACGTAGGACTTGTCTGCCTCGAGACTGGATGCGGAACCGGCTTTTTCGAGATGAACCGATGGGGGCGAAGAGAGCGCCGAAGGGTCGAGGCTGTTTCCGAGGGACGCGGTTGCATCTTTGGACCAAGAGGCAGAGAGACCGAGGACGGGCTGGAACTCGGAAATGACGTTGGGGATGATGCCGGCTTGGAAGAGGCTAGGACTAGTCAGTGATGTCCTTCGGCGTGCGAAGGGGGGGGGCTGGGAGGGGACAAAAAGGCCATACGCTTCGTGAACCTCGGTCATGTCATCGTTGTCGGATGCAATGACCTTTTGGTTGGCGAGACGAGCCAGGGAGAGGTGAGCCAGGGCAAGAGTTGCCATGGTCATGAACGAGATGCCGCGCATTGGGGGTTGGGATCTGGAAGGAGTTAATTTGAAGTGAGGCTGGCCGCTTTCTGTTGTGCGGCATAGGGTTGCAATTGAGATGCTCTTTCGATGGAGGGGCGATGCGCCATTAACGAATCCTTGTTGATCAAGGTGAGGTTGTCTAGTCCCTAGGTAGGAAACGTGCAGGCGCATGATGTCACGCTGTTGGGAGTTAGCACATCACATCGCATCACTGAGCGCGCATCAATCAACCCCGCACATCCAACAGCCGCCCGTGTCTCCCTCCTCCCCTCCTCTGCTCTCAGCCGCGTACCTGCCCCTTCCGGACTGCACTAAGGGGATTGATCGCCAAAGACAGGCGCCACAGGGACCTTGACGCTGACATGCCCCTGTCTGTGCAGGCTTATTTCGATTGTTATTGGAAGAGATTTTGTTGGAGTATCTGACGTTGAAAACGGAGTATCTGGCGTTGAAAAGCCCGGCATTGGTTGTTGCTTGGTCTGGCTTGTTGCTGTGATTCTAGCCTTAATAATGCAGAGGAACCTGTGGGTCGTCCTCGTCATCTGCAGAACATGCCAGTATGCTTAATTCGTCCTTAAAGGTGCGAGCAGAGATAGATGGTCACGGCTGCAAGTAGTGTGATGTGGCAGCTCAAGCTCCTCAAACTCAATTGGAATGCGTGAAAAGCCGTCGAGCTTTGGTTCTCGTGGTAGGCCACTGGCAGTTTTTATCACAAGCTCTGTGTTGCTGTCTTTGCGAGGTCATACTAGAGAACTACGATGTTCGCAAAGCATACCCACACTCCCTCTTCCAATACTTTATTTTCTCTCGTTACTTATGTCTTCCTCTTGCACAATGCTCTTGTATAGCTCCCACGGCTAACAATCAAACCAGCATCCTGTGTGCACAGCATGGTATGGTGTTGGCAGCGCCTGTTGAAGTGATTTCTGGTCCTGGCTTCCGATCCTGATACAAGTTGAAATGAATAGGTTTTGAAACCAAGGCGCGCGAGCACTCTGGCGTGCGGACTTGCTGGTAACCTGCGTCAAGTCCAAGTCCAGCCGCAGGGAAGCATTGTAGAAGTCCGCTTTAGGCCCTATTCTCTCTGAAAAGCGAGGACACAACAGGAGAAATCCAAGGGCAAAGAGTCCATCGACACCATGCCCTGACGACTGATTCGTTTAAGGACCTCAACCAGCGCCGCAAACTTCACAGTTGCAGCTGCCGCGTGTTTGCCCGCCGTGAGCTCGATCGGAGGGAGAGGCAGCGTCGCCCGGAGTATCCTAGTGGGGGCGAGCAAGATGCGCCAGTAGAGCAGGTTGTCTGAAATAAAGCAGCCCTGCGCTGGCCAGACCATCCATTTCGGCCGCAAGGTCTGAGCACAGTGACCCGGCACACCGGCACCGACAGCTGCGTGCCCAAAGAAGTCAGGCTTGCAGGGCACCAGATCCCGGGATTGACGTCCGCATTCGCCAGTGCCCCGTGGCATAATCACCTTGGGTTGTGGAGCGGAGCTTTCGGAGATGATCTAAACCGCGCCTCTTCTCGATACATGCATTGCTAGTCATGGCCCAACGAGGACCCAGGGGAGGAGAGGCATCATCACGAGAAATAGCAATCAGCGAAACCATCAGCTACCATCACATGCGAGGTGTCGGATCAGATTGCCAAAGATCTTGGACCAGGAAATCGTCTATCGCCGTTGGTTCATCCCGTGTTGACGAAAGATGGTTCGGGATCCAAGCCGACAAATCCACCTCAGAGACCCTGGCAAAGCTTCCACGAGGACAGGGATCTCCCAGTCTAGAAATGTACACAGAACGCGGCATGGCCGTCGGCCATCCTCGCTCTAGCCTCGAGGTCCAAGAGACTTTGCTGAGGAAACAAACGATGTAACCCCATGGCATCAACGATCTGGTCCCTGACCCAAAAGGCCTTCGCCAAGCTCATCATCACAGCAGATCAAAGGGTTGGATGCCGACAGACTTGGTTGGCTTTAAAACAACTGTATCGATCGTGCTGGGTGAGACTTGCTGATTGGGCCGGTAGCAAAGGCAAGCTACGGTAGGTAGCACCACTGAACACAACCCGGGGAACGAGTCGAACCCACCAATGCAAAATTGAAATGAAAGGGGCAGCCGCCTGAACGGAATGACATGACAAGTCGATAACCCCGCAGAGGCTTACCGTAATCGTCCATCTATCCGACACCACGATGCCATTTTGGGAGGCTACCCAACCTGGTCACGATCCCATCAGAGATTCAGATGGGCTGTATAAGTACGACTTGGCCATCCATTCGACGCCACGATGCCGTCTGTACGTACTTTGATCTCATTTCTACCCATTATCCATTCCTTCGTTCAGTCATTCATTCATTAGTTCGTTTACTACCACCAATCCCAAAATGAAGTTCATCACAGTCCTTACTTCGATGGCGGCGCTGGTCGCCGCCGCCCCTGCCGTTGAGCCCACCAAGACTCAGTCCATCGACAAGCGCGCGACGAACCTCTGCGGACAGTGGGACAACATCAAGGTCGGATCTTACATCATCTACAACAATCTCTGGGGACGGGACCAGGCCACCAGCGGCTCTCAGTGCACCCTGGTCGATGGTATTACCAACAACCTCGCCAAGTGGTCTTCCACCTGGTCCTGGGCTGGCGGTAACCTCCACGTCAAGTCGTACTCCAACGCTGTTCTCCAGGCCCCTGCTGCGCGCGTCTCTGCTGTCGCCAGCATCCCCTCCAAATGGCAGTGGAGGTATGTAGCACACTGTTCGAGGTCCTTCTCTCCTTGCTCATACTAACCGACCCAACAGCTACACCGGCACCGGTGTCGTCGCCAACGTCGCCTACGATCTCTTCACCAGCAGCGACTGCAGCGCCAAGCCTGAGTACGAGGTCATGATCTGGCTCGCGGCCCTCGGCGGCGCCGGCCCCATCAGCGCCACCGGCAAGCCCATCGCGACCGTCACCATCAGCGGCGTCTCGTGGCAGCTGTACAAGGGCGCTCACTCTCAGATGACCGTCTTCTCCTTCGTCGCCACCAAGCAGCAGACCAACTACAGCGGCGACGTTGCCGACTTCATCAAGTACCTCACCGCGTCTCAGGGTCTCCCCGGCTCCCAGTGCCTCTACAGCATCGGCGCCGGAACCGAGCCCTTTGTCGGCACCAACGCCAAGTTCGACACCACCGGCTACAGCGTCTCGCTGTCCACCGCCGCGGCCCCGGCTCCCAAGCCCGCCACCACCACCACCGCTGCTCCCAAGCCTGCCGCTACCACCGCTCCGTCGAAGCCCGCGACCGGTGCCACCTGCGCCCCTGCCTACGGCCAGTGCGGCGGCCAGGGCTGGACCGGCCCTACCTGCTGCACCACCGGAACCTGCAAGGTTTCCAACCAGTGGTACTCCCAGTGCAGCTAAGTGGTTGAGTAGCTCTGTTCGAGAAAGAAATCGAAGAGGGGTCAGCCCCTAGCGAGGCAGTGAAGCACCATGAGCCGCCCTTTACCTGTAATTATTGTTGAATGATTTTGTATATATTAATAACTTCTTTCCGATGCCTAGAATTCGGGCATCGGCTCCCTCCATCGTGGCTTCGAGATCGATGATTCACTCTCACTCCGAGACGTGTAGATGTGAACGGAATCATAGCCCAGGTGTCTCGCAGCGAATGCCTGTGTTATTGCGACGGCAGTCCGCTACGAAGCTACCCAACACAATAACCCTCAGACAGAGTGTGCGGACATTGATGAATTGCTTTTCGAAGATTTAATGGCCTCTTAAGTAGCCTGGTTCTGTGTGCGTCTGATCCTTCGGGGAAACGTCATCTCACCCTCAGAATACGAGGTATCGCGGCATACTATGGCAGCTAGAGCTGCTTGAAGAGTCCAATGATGGTTCTGACGCTCTGCCAAACTAAAATGCCAGCAGAAGTTGTCCCTCCTTCCGGGAAAAACATTTTCCTGGTTCCTGTGAAATGAGAATTGGCTGTAGCTCTCATCGTAGATCATAGTAGAATGATAATACTGAGTGCCACATCATTCGACATCATCTATTCATGTCTCCCATGTCGGTGAGTGGAGTTGGAGAAGCGGCTCTACTGCCAGAAGGTCCTGTACAGAAGGATTCAGGTTCTCATAGCGTGGTAAATTGAAGCATGAAATTGATACATTTAATGGCATGGAATCGAAAGGCTGATCTGACGGTCTCCCATAGCGCTTCTGCTTTACGTGGGCTGACATCGGCAGTCTGCCAAAAGAAATGAGGGTCTAGAGAGTCTACTTAGAAAACTCCTGAATACGGTTGAAGCTTTGTTATGCGGGGCCTTCGTAAGAGAATATTCGCGACCTTCTCGGCGAGATGACTGTCCTCGAGCTGTATCTTGTGAAAGACCGCAAATACCTAACGCAGCGGGCTCGACACCCGAACGAGATCCTTCTTTACCGGCTATCGCATGGGGCCTCGGCATGTATGCTGTGAAGGTCATGGTCTCGAGCACACAGTCCATTCAGAACGGAAAAACCACCTGGAAGCACAAATCTTCCAATGTGGCTTTTGCCAAGCCATCACTACGCTCCTTGCGTCCTCAAGTATAAGCCTTCTTGGGCCCGAGGCAATACCGGCCGGGAACCAGCAAGAGGCGACTTTTCAGCTTCTTCTCTCGTCGGGTCGCCCAGCCTTTCCGCCGGCAGCGACAAAGCTCCCTTCAGACCCTTCCAAGAGTGAGCTAAGATGCTTGTTTGCTCCAAAGCTGCGGGGCATTCCAGATGAACGTTCGCTAAGAATTAGCTCACGCCTAGTCCAAACCTTAGCGAGGGATCCTCTGTAAAACACAACAGAGAAGCGTCTTTTTCGACGTCGTCCAAGGCCCACCCGCATGTGCCCCGCACACACACAGAAATACCGACGGCACTTTAAAAGGTTAGCTGGGAAGGCTGCCTGTAGATGAGGTTACCATGGAACTTGCAAGTGCAAGTTGTAAACGTGAGCCACGCGGCGAGATACGGCACGGCTCGTAGAAAGTACCTGCTCCCTCTACAATCTCGTACGCACCATCTGGACGGTGACGTCCACGACGATACCGGACGCTGAATAGCAGCATCATATTGCCGTTGTCGAAGTCCCCGCAGAAACGGCGCAGCGTCAGCCCGTCCACTGATTTTTCAAGCCACAGCTACGGCTATTTATCAGATGGGCACTCTAGCGCGGTCTTTCGCCCGCCATATCGTGTCATTTGCCCAGCTCGCGTTAGGCTGCCAAGAGCACTCGAAGCGACAACCAGCACGATTGGCGCGTGAAAAGACTTGAACGTCTTTTGGAAGCCGAGCACTCGGGCGCTGAGCACGTCGTAGCTGTCCTGTGTTCGGAAACAGTCGGGGATGGGGGTGGGGGTTGGTGGTGTCGAATTCTTCTTGATCACAGGAGACGCCTTTTCCCTTAGTATAAAGCTCGTGTGCGTGGGAAATACCATGCTGCACGTTCTTCTTCGGTCTCAAACAGCGCAGTGCAGCTGCTTCTCGTCAAGTTCCAAGTTCAACTGCTGGCCATTCCAGAAGGCAAGACCTTCATGATGACCACCAAAGAGGGTTCCGCGTTGAATAGCGAAACTCTGAAAACGCCACAAAAGGTCACAGAGTACTCGGGACAAACACCAGACTCGCAGTCTGAAAATGTCGACGATCGGCCATTCATTCCAAGAAGCTGGAAGCTCGGCTCGGTTCTGCTCATCTGCCTCATCAGCTTTGGCGCTTCTTGGTCTGCAAGGCTGACCTCGTCGCTAAAGAGCACGATCAAGAAGGAACTCGACATCAACAACACCCAGTTCGCACTGCTGGAGGCCAGTGAAGAATTCCTCGTCACGGCCTTGATCATGGTGTCCGGCGTCGTGACGGACCGGATTGGCGGCGCTGGTATGTTCTATTCTTCACAAGTCCAACTACGAAGGATTGGTCACTAATAGTCTGGTGTAGGAGCCATGCTCTACGGTAACCTGGTCATGACTGCGGGAGCTCTGATCATCGCAGGCGCCGCGACGGGCAGGTCCTTCCCTCTCATGATTTTCGGCAAAGTCACCGCGGCGTTGGGAGACATCGCTACGCAGATTGCGTATTATCGAGTTTTCTCCGGATGGTTCGCACCTGGCGGTGGTTTTGGCACGACCATTGGCCTTCAGATTGGCATCGCTCGAATCGGCGGCTTCGTAGGAAGCTCAACAGCCAACGTCATCTCCAAGGTAAATACCCTCTGACCTAACGTCTTGCTCAGAAACGGCCCCAATAACCAGCCTGCAGAACACCGGGAACTTCGCCTGGGTTTTTTGGATCGGGGCATGCGTCTCCGTTTTTACGAACCTGTGCACACTCGTCTTCTACGTCTTCACCAAGACCGCACACAGGCGCTTCAGGGCACCGCCCGATCCCGCCACGGGTGAAGAACTTGTCGAGAAGAGCAAGGACTTTCAGATCCGCAAGATTCTCGAACTTCCCTGGACGTTCTGGTCCATCATGCTCTTCTCCATGGTGCAGACGAGCTGTTCCAACGTCTACTCTCAGAACGCCACAGAGTTGGCAGAGCACCGCTTTGGAGTGGACGCTGTCGCCGCCGGTTGGTACGCTTCTCTGTCTCAGTATGCTGGTAAGCTTGAAAACTCCTATCCACACATCTCATCGAGCAAGACTGATCCGGCATCACAGGCTTCTTCTTGAGCCCGATGATTGGTGCAGTTATCGACATCTACGGGCATCGTGTAACACAGATGGCGATCTGCGGCACCGGCATGCTGCTGGCGATGGGACTCATCAACTGGGGCACAACAACCAGCAGTGCCGCAGCCTCGTACGCATTCTACGCCATTTTCAAGACGTTCGGCCCAGTCACCATCATTGAGGGAATCCGAACCAGTATGATATACCAAGACGTCTTTGGTACAGCATATGCCGCCAAGGTGACAATGAACAATGCGTATGTGGATATCATCATTGTCTGGAACCCCATCCCGGCTTGAGTCAGCTAACCATTTGATCCAGCACAAACATCATTATCCGTATCATCACCGGTGTCATTCAAGATGCCGATGACAACTCCTACCGCCGCGTAACAGTCGTCTACGTATTCCTCGCTGCTGCCTCGACGGTCATTTCGTTGGCGATGTTGCTTGGAACCTTCTGGGCCACCGACCTTCGGATCCTGCAGTTCACGCGAAAGCAAAGAATTCGGTTCGGAGACATAATCAACGAGAGGAAGGTAAGGTTCCAGGGCCCGGCCGGTAAGCTGAGCAGGAACATCAGCAAGACTTGCTTCGCTGCACTCATGGTGTACGTGCTGGGCAGCTGGTCAGCATGGATCTGGGGTGCAGTCACAGGCAATAACTAAGGCAACTTGAAGACTTCTATCCGCCACAGAGGAGTTGATGACACCAAGAACCTAGCGTAGGCAGCAGCCCCGTCAAGTGAGCATCTATTGATTGGAAGTTGCCTCCTCTACACTCGCACCATGTCTTTCTTTCCTTAATGATTACTGGACGTTGATGAACAGTAAGTGCTATTCACATGACTGTAGGCTACTGTGCCCGTGTGCCCCCTGTCAATTGTGAATGCGCGTGATGGTGTATGGAATAGTCACTAGAGGTTTTAAGGGTGTCACGCTGATACCCTACTGATCTCGACGCATCAGTCGTTTGCCTAGCGCAATAGGGATCACTTCAAGGAGTCACTCCTGCAACGAATGTGGCGGGATCATCTCCTTTCAAACTTCACCCATCCAAACATTGATGATCGGAAGCTCCCTGGCCAACAAGCTGTCCAATCTCAGCTTGACTGAAAACCGCAGCAGAACATGCTGACGCCTTGAGATGCCGTCCCATCAGTGTGAGGGCCTCTGTATGGCCAGCCATACGCGATTGCCACCCCGACGCGTGGGCCAAACTGACCAGTAGTCTGAGGCTGCTATCGGGGCCCTGAAGGGTACGGAGGTATAAGGCGCGGTGCGCACACCCAGCCAGTCTCGTTCATGAAAACCAAGCCTCAAAATTAGGCTCACCGTGCCGTTGGATATCATTGGGACGCCACAGAGGCATCCGATGGGGGCGAGGTGCTCTCAGTGTCAGCTCACAGAATCGTCCAAGCCAACTGCGAGCCAAAGCAAGGCCTGTCGCGATTCACCGTCTGACAGCCATCTTTCCACAGCACAAGCTGCGCAACGTGACTCACATTTTCGAACGCGAGTAGAACACACAGCGAATCAAATGATCAATCCTGTGACTTTTCTTTCTTCAAAATCAGGGTGCCCTGGTATTCTGTTGTCGTTAAAGTTGCCTGTCGGGCGGGCGAGAACGGTCCAATATCCGACCCTCGTCTTGATGCCCGACCCATGTGCCCAGGGTTGCCTCATGCGTCATTTCGACCGGGAGTGCGGCGCAGAGGGAAAAGAACAGTCCCATGGCCATGGGGTGTCGCTATCAACCTCGCATGAACCCTGTCGCACGAGAAAACACAATCATGTGCCATAATGAGCCTTCAATACCATCCATTTGTAACGAGATGGAAGTTTGCAGAAGGTTTGGAGTCAGTTGTGAAGTCGCTTCGCAGTCCAGCGCTGGTGGTGGCTATGTCACGTGGTATACCCCGCCACTTTCAGGGACGCTGTGGCAACAACGTCGATCAGGGCCGAGGCTATGGCACTCGTACCTGTCTGTCGTGGCAACAATGATTCCAGCTTGTGCGCTCTATTCGATATACGAGACAGGGGTCGGTATGGGTGTGGAAGTTTTGGTCGACGTTTGCCGATATTAGAATCCCTGCCGCGGGCACTTAACTGCACAGTGCAGCTTTACAAGCACAGTAAACCGAAGGCAACGCAGGGACTGAGGAGGACGCAAGGAGCAGAAGCTGAGGTCAATCGGAATTGACCATCGATCCAGCTAGTTCTGACGAGAAGCGCATCAGCGAGCGGACACCCTGGTTGGCCATCTTGCCTGAGTTTGGCAAACTGGTCAGCGCCATTGCTGTTGCAAAGTCGGTGACAGGAAACAGGGTCGGTGAACAGACCTGACTCACCACACCAGGGGCTGGTAGGGCTGCTGCTTGTTGCAGGAGATGCACACACAAATATCTCGTTGAAAGACGTGATTCCAAATTCGAGGCCGTGTTGTCTTTCGCTCGTCAAGAATGGGTCCGCTGAGGGCATGTTGCCACTTTACCGTACATGCATCTCGTTTGGGCTTGCCGCCACCGACTGATCACATCCCTCCCGATGCACATGCTGTGTTACTCGGGTTATCAGAGACCGTCTTGTCAAGATTGGCTGGCCAAACCCTGGCGTTGGACCGGATCGACTTTCTACTACGGTGGACCTGTGTTGACAGGCTGTCCATCAATTATTGGCCGCTGACGAAGAGATGGCGCTTGTTGGCCAGTTAAGATGCCCTCGAAGCCAGCAATACAGGGGGTAAGTAATGATGTGTTCAATTCTGGAAACCATGCTGGGGACAACCGCCTGCACATGGTAGCTCAAGGCGTATTGCGTTGGTTGCTCAGATAGAACCCCGTGTGCGGCATGAAATGACACATGAGACCGATGCACCCGTTTGTCTTCAAGCGGAGGCTGTTCGGAGGATCACCGGCCGCTCTGTGTCGAAGCTGGTTCCTCATCATCACAGTGAGCCTGGTGCCGAGCGAGTCTCAACATGGGTATCTCGCGGGCCGCATTGTACACATGTGTGTCCGCTACGTCACTGAGCCCTAACACTGTCGCCCATTTTGCACCGGAACTGGCGACAAGGCGTCTCATCTGAATGCGCAGTGCAGCAAGATAGGGCAACGGCGGACATTCATGGCGCATGATACAAGGACCCCTTGCGCAGCTGCAGCTGCAAGTCTGCGACGCCAATCAGCCATGCAAAGATTCCTCGAGGCGCCTCACAAGCTGATGATTGCCACGAGCGCGAAGAGTCGGTGAGGCCGCGTCCGATGTTGTTAATATGGTCCGGAGGAGCTAACGGAGGCGGAAAGAGTACAGCTGGCAAGTCGGTCGGCGAGACGTATATGGTGGCTTCATCTTGGGATGACGATCGTGTCACAAGAGTGTCGCGATCAGCGTAGACAGAAGGAAATGCTAACAAGACCATACTTGTAGTTGTCGGTCGAATAGACACACCCGTCTGGTGAACGGAGGGAAGCCAAGAGGGCGTTCACTTAGAAGATGCCCCTCTTCTTTAGCAGCGCTGGCTGCGGTATCCCGCCTGCAAGATCGCATGCCACCGCACCTGGGTCATCGTGGTGCGCTACATGTGTTTAGGGTAAGCGTCTATGGCTCTCTCACGCCCTGATCCGAAATAATCCTATGCTTCCAAACAGGCAAGCCACGCAACGACCAGGGCTCGAAGCGGCCCCGACGGGTACGGAGCAGTAGCGGCATTAGAGTGTGGGCTGTGACTGGCTTCGCCCGTGGTGCTACGTGTTCAAGTGGCCTCCGGGTTGTCCAATCGGGACTGGCGGACGTCTTGTTTAGAGGCCCGATTCGTCGGCCTCGTCCAGGCGAACGCGCTGCCTACGGGCTACGTTGGACAGCGATGCAGCAAGAGTCGCATGCCATTGGGACGAAAGGCATGCTCCCTTACTCTTTGCTCCCCCCCTCACCTCAGAACGAACAAAATGTGAGTCATACGTCTCTGCTGGCCAGCAGGTGTGGTTTTTTGCCAGCAGTGTCTGTGTCTGCGGCAGTGGAGGTGAAAATTTCGCCATCGAAAAGAAAGGAGTGCAATTTGGATCAGCGGAAGGCTGACACCATGCTGCCGGATTGGACAAGGGAAAGAGATGCGCGACGACGGCTGGGAAATTTCAGTGGCTCCCAAGGGGGAAGGATAAGAACAGCGCCCGTGTTAAGGGGGTCAGGGTGTGCGCCCGGTGAACGGGATGGAGCGTCCTAGCGGCCCCAACGACCTTCTGGAAAACGACCCTCCGGTGCGACATGTGCGTGCGCGCACACCCTACTAACACCTGTCTTTGCAGGGAGAGGGGTGAGGACTTGCGTTGTTGTGGCCAGGGGGGAGGGGTGGTGATTTGACCCGTGGCAGTGGGTGTAATTTCGTCGCCTGGAAAACCTGACCAGGGGCCTGTCATGGACAACTTGTCATACTGTACGGAACATGGCTTTGTGAAGGCCAGGTTGTTGGAGAATCTCTAATAACCCCACGACGCGTGTGGTCGCACCAGCCATGGGTGGCAGTAGCAACGTGATGTGTAATTGTTTTTCGCCGGAGCTGAGACCTCCCCGGTTAAATCTCAATTTTTTTTTCTGGAAATGACAGAGAATGGCTCACCCCATCCATGGATGACTCCCTACCGCACAAGAAGAAGCAAGTCGAGGGTGCTTGCTGTGTTGTGGGTGTTGTGGTGCTGCAGTAGGAGAGGCGTCTGTGCTATTGCAGTGCTGTACCACCAAATCGTACAGGGTCTGCATCACGTTAGCTAGTGGCAAACCACCAATGGAGGCCACAGGCTCAGAACAGGGGCATAGGACCAGCAGTCGACGTCGGAGGCCTGCTACTCAGCGCTGACCTGGAACATTTCAGTTTCCGATACCGCGGCGGAGTCAAGAAGCAGTCGCGTTCCTCGCCTCCTTGAAGCTCCTCCGAAAGAAAGCAGAGATAAATGGTATTGGCCATGTGGCTTTTGATGATGCGTTGTTATGAGTGCGAGTTAAAGTTGCTAGAGGTTCGATGCCGAACAGGCGGCTCTAAGCCGCAATAGAATGACGATGTGAGTGTGCAGAGTCAGAGGTGGTGACACTGGAAATAGTCCATCAATAGTTAGATGCCATCTCCTTAGCGACGCTTCATTGGCCGTGGCCAGGCTACATGCCCGTTCCGTGGCGTGAGCTTGCTGTCCCCGGACGAGATACGCGTGGTTGACGAGACCTCCCCCGTTACAGGAGGCTGGGGGCTGGGATCACTTGTCTCTCCAGCTGGACTGGTAGCTTCATCGAATGCTCAGGCAAAACATTGTCGACCCAGGAGAGAGGGAGCCTGTGGACAACGTACTGGAATCATTCCTATTCGACAAAAGCCAGCAGAGACAGGGAGAATCTGGTAGAACGTCTCCACTAATCCACAGGTTGGCGGGGTCTTCCGCCGATGATGCTAAAGCCTGTTCGTTCCTGGCCTATCCAGTCGTATCATGGGCCCCTTCCCCAGTCCTCCCCAGCCCGGCCGGCACTGCACAGAAGGCGGGCGGATGCTGCTGGAATGACGATTCGGAGGCTGGGAAGCTAACCAACCTAGGCTCGAATGGAACTTGGATTGGAAATCGGGACGTCCCAGGGCTGGCGTTAACATCAGGCGAGACAAGTACAAACAATTGGGAGCCTGCTGCTCT